CCATGTGAGGCCGAAGAACCGCGTGTGGAGTGGGAATGTGACCAACTGCCTACTACCCACACTTCCCGGTTCTACCAGATTCACCTCCACACCGCGTCCGCATCCCTCGCTCGCCACGTCGCGTCGCGTCGCGTTCCGCCGCGTTCCGGTGGCGTCGTACCGGGCGTCCCGCGCCGAGCTCGGGCGGCGCGCCATGCTCAGGTCGCGCGCGCCATGGGGGGTCGCTGGAGGTCCGCGCGGGCGCGACGGCAGCGGTCAGGTTCGGCTCCGGTCGGTTGGAGGGGTCGTGATCTGTGGTCTGTAGTCGGGTTTTCGTTGGTGGCTGTGGGTTGGGGAGGCTTCCAGATTGAAATCATCGAGAAAAAAAACAGCAATTGGTGGAAAGTTGGACAGTTGAAGTGGGCAGAGTGACACGTGGATGGCACATGTGGCCAGGGGCTCAATATTCACCCTGGACCCCTGTCTGTGGCTGCCATCAAGTTTCTATGATTGCAAGCTCTGAGAGACTTGCACATGCCAATTCCGGAAAAACTTTGCAGGGTGTCTTGCAACAGATGTCTCGTGTTCCCTCATGTCTGGATCTCTTGTTCCTGATTTCTCGTTCCCCCCATGCCACATGCTCCAGTGGGTCTTCTGCAGCACTTCTGGGTCTTCTCTGATCTCGGGTCCTGCGACTCGGTCTTCAAGTCGCCTTGAGATCCCACCGCGTCCGACGGTGCGCCGCGTCGGTTTGGTGCTCGGATCGGCCTTCTCGTGCTCCGCGGCAACGCGAAGGGACCGGCTCCGAGTGGAGGATCAGCGCCAAAAAAGGATCCGAAGTTTGGATTGGGTGAGCAGCGAACGGGGTCATTTGGTCTGTCTGATGCCCGTAGATGGTCCGTTCAGCGTTCGGAGCAAATGGAGACACCAGTGAGGTGATGAGGTGATGAGGTGATGAGGTGATGAGGTGATGAGGTGATCAGATCCACAGCTGCAGCACTGCTGCACAGCAGCACCCGAGGATGACCCTAACAGGTCGCCACCAGCACCTCTCTCCAAAAGCCACCTCTAGAGTCGGATGCTGGACATGAAGGGTTCTTCAGGGTGTAGACCCCCCAATGAGCTCTATTGGAAGGAAAAACATCGTCGGGTTCGTCATAAGCCACCCTTTCGGTGGTGGAACACGTGCGGCACATGCCTCCAAGGCGTTCGTTCACCATGCCCCTGAAGCTTTGGGGGAACTTCATGAACCCGATCTGAGCCAGGGAGCGGAGCCAGGGAGCGTGTTCTGGTAGGGATGGAATGGCAGAAGTCGACAATGACAAGAGCCACCCGACTGCTTGGTGGCATCAAGTCCCCGTGAATCTCAGTTTACTCTAAGCCATTCCCCTCAAAGCCCGTCAAAGCCCAAGTCTTTTGACAAATCTATTTGCGTGGAAACTTGCTCCTAAGCCTTCTCTCTATTTAGCATCAACCAGATTTCCATAGATTTCCCATGTGCACAGCTTTCACCCGAACCCGTACCCAGATTCCATTGAAGGGGCATCTTTCTCACATCACACAGCGCTAGCGCAACTCGCTCTGCTACTTGGCTTCACCGGTTTCAGGGGGTCAGTCTGCCTGGCCCAGGGATGGGTTTGATGCGGCGGGCTGACCGATGTAGACCGTGGTCAGTCTGTGGCCGGCGTTCAAAGATTGTACAGTTCGTACTGCTCAATCAAGAACTCCCCTATCCCAGTACAAACATCTGGATGGTCCAAGCCTAGCTTTCGCAGGGTAGGTCGTCCACTGGTAGGCTAGGGAGTTCCATTCGTGGAGCATGCAATTTTCAGACGCACATGGACCTCTCTCTCAAACGATCATGGAATAAAAGGACCAGACTTGGTATATAGGGCGCATGAGCGCATATTCCACTTCTATGATTGGAGAGAGGCCGCGGCAAAAAATGGTTGCTTTTGCTTTACTCGCGCTCCCTCTCTCTCTCTCTCTCTCTCTTTTTGTTTGCTTCGTTTGAAACACCTGCAGGTCTAAACACCGTTTAGACCTGCAGGTCCCTACCATACTTTTTGAACCACAACTGAACCACAGTGTGTGTGAGAGATTAAGAATCAAAACACAAAAAGATTGGAGATCCCGTCTGCATTGTCGCCCACATCACACAGATATCGACCCGAAGACGACCGGACGCGACGTGGACACGACGTCTTTTTGGGACGTGCTGCACCGTACGTGGTCGGTCGGTGCGACCGGTCAGTGCACAGCTTCGGTGCGACCGGCGCGACCGGCTGCGCGACATCAGACTCGTTGAAACACCACCTCGCCCGTCAAGGCTTCTTGCAAGATCTTCGGCACTCCCACCTCGCGCGCCAGGTCGGCGGCCGAACAGTTGCGCGCGTTGCGCAGATCCACGCGGGCGCCCGAGCTGACCAGGATCCAAGCGGTCTCGAAGTTGGCGGAGAGGATCGCCATCATGAGGGGCGTGGCACCATGCAAATGATAGTACCTTCGGGTGGCAGAGGTGATCTTTCCAAGTCGGTAGCGGAGTGAGCCCAGAAAATAGAGCATTCCGCCCATTGACCAGGGCACCTGGTACTGCTCATCAATGTCTGCCTTCGCCTCCAACAAACGCCGTGCTGCCTCGGCACCTCCTTGCTTGGAATTGGCTGCTGCATGAAGCACCTTGGACAGCGAGCAGCGCTGCTCTCGACCCAAAAGCTCCTCCAGAACGGGCAGCGAGTTGGCCCAAGAGGCTGTCTCCAGCGGAGGAACTCCCATGATGTTGGCGTCGCGAGGGTCGCAGCCTGCGGCACAGAGCAGCCGCACCCCTTCGACATTGTTGGTGCCAGCAGCCAGGGTTAGGGCTGGAACCAGACCTCTTTCGCGGACTTGGGCTTTTGCTGCAATCAGCAGCCGTGCAACCTCATTGTGCCCAAAGGCAATAGACAAGCCCAGCGCTGAGATCCAAGGGGGCGCATCAAGCAAAGGTTGCCCCTTCCGGGTGGTCTTGCACACATCTGCACGCTCTTTGACTAGAGCCTTGACCAACTTTGGATCGCCATTCAAAGCAGCATAGTGCAAAGGCAAAAACCCTGCCTCGTCCACCTCATCGATCCTCGAAAAGCCGTTCTGGTGGAAGAATTCCGCCACCCGCGCGGCTGATTCATCTCCACTGGCAACAAAGCCTGGGACCAAATCCAGTTCTGGCTCAACATCCACACCTCGCAAATGAACACTCTGCAGGTTTCGAACAATTCGATAGGTCACAAAGTCCTCATCCTTCAAGGCTTTCAGCATTTTCCGCTTGAGCGCCGCTGCCAGCACCGGGCCCAGCTTGGCTTTGTCCTCTGGTACCGCGAAGTCGCCCTCCCCCACGGGGCGATAGAAGGCATCGGTGGCCACCACGACCTCGATGTGCATGACGCTTTGCACCAAGACCCAGCCATCGCCCTCCGTTCCAAGCTCACGCATCGTCCGTTCCAAGCAACACCAGCCTCGCTGGCGCCAGCTCGACGCGTCCAAGGGCTTTGGCCTCGTCAGGGGGTCGAAGATGAAAGGACAAAGGGCAAAGAAGAAGGAACACTCCGCCACGTAGGCATGGATGCTTGCAATGGCTTGAGCTTGCTGGCTCAGTGGCCCCTTATTCTCCAGCTGCGGGCAAGAGAAGTAGTCATACCAAACGAACAACTGCGCTGATCGGAACTCATGGGTCGGGAGCGCTCTGGCTTGTGACACGGTCAATTCCGTGATGGATTCCAAGGGTATCTGGGGAAGCTCCGACAAAATACGCTTCATCGCACCCTGAAATACACTGAACTGCTCTAGGGTTGGATCAGGGTGATCTTTTCCAGCCCATTGGTGTGAAACAAAGACCGCCTTTCCCATCCTCTTCTCGAACTGCCTGAGTCTGCCCTCGGACTTCAGCGTCTCATGCGGCACCAGGGAGCTCATTTGCAACACATCTTCCAAGGGCAACGTGTACATGGGAAAGAGCATCCGAGGAGCCCAAACGACCTCCTCGCTTTGGAGACGGAGGGCATGCCGCGCCAGTGGCGTCTCACTGCGAGAGCGACAAAGCGACGGCATGGCGACGGGACGACGGCCATTCACCGCTGCACAATGAGCCTCTTAAGGTTGGCCTGGCCGGGGTGGTTCTCATGGAGGTCAACGGTTGAACCCACCAGTTCTCTCTTCAGGTTCGGAACTCCAAAACAGACGTGACATAGACCTGCCTCACGTGCCCAAAGCGAGTCCTCCATCAAAGTCAACCGGACCACCGTTCCTATTGATCGCACCTCGGTCGCTCGCAGAGCATGGCGAGGCTTGCCTGGCAGATCGCAATTCGCACGCAAGCAACTGAAATCGGGTCACCTAAAGATCTTTTTGAGAAAAAATAATCAGTCTTGGACCTCCAGGGAAACTTGTTTAACAAAAAAACACGGACAGACTGACCATCTGTCCGTGTCGTCCCATGAGCAGAGTTGCTGCCACACACGTCCGCGAATACCCCGAGACCCGCTCCGTCCGATGGGATGGAACGGTCCACCGAGCGATCAGTCGGAACTGGACTTCTTAGGGTCGTTTCCAGCTTTGGGATTGAATCCTCGGGCTGTGAACGCGTCTGGACCAGCGAAAAAACCGAAAAGACAAAGAAAAAAACATCAAAAGCAACCAAAACCTACGTCATCCCACGTCCAAGACTGTGGTGATCCAACGGACTGTGGCCGGTGTCCAGACTCGTTTTGGCCCAACGCGTCCCACGACCGACGCGCACCCAACGGGCCGTGCCTCCGGACCGGCTGGCCGACCGTCTCGACAGTCCTGGGAGGCGTCGAAAACGCCAAATCGAAAAGCCCCCAAGTGGTTTTGGTTCAAAGGCTCTTGGTATGATATCACGTGACATGGACACGGAACTTGTTGCAAGACCGAATGCAGGCAAAGCTGCTTACTGTCATACTTCTAAATGTGCCTTTTTGCGCGAAACCAGCTACAAGTGAATGAAGTACATTCAACAGGATACTTTCTCAGGATCCTGCGGAGACTGTTTGGATCATTTCAATGAACTCGCTTTCACTGGCTTTATCTGCCTCTGCCCAGAAATAGCTCCTTGCCAGCTCCAAGGGCAAGAAACGTTTGGCCCAGGGCCCCATGACTGCGAGGCTGAAGATTAGCAAGATGTATCGCCCATACATCTCAGCACCAAAGGCATGCCACAACTGGAAGCAGCAGCCGGCGCCTAGGGCGAAGGTCAAGTACGACTTTGACAGTGCAGCTTTGCGGTTCATCGCGTCCAAGGGGAGTCGCACTCCAAAGTTCCACACACCCGCGTCAAAGAGGAGCAGATTCGCAGTGCCCGCACTCCAAATGCCAAGGCTCAGCAAAGGGACCAAAGGTGTCCAAACAATCAAGACTTCCAGCTGTGTGGTCAGCAGGGCCATTTGCTCCAAGGGCCTTAGAGAGCTACTGGTCTTCGGTCCCCTCCGTCCAAAGCCGCGCAGTCTCAAATGACGCCCGGCCTGAGGATCCCCTGAATCGGCTTCCAAACGCGAAAACTGCCACACCAGCCACGACAGGAAAGGTTGCATGGTGCTTCGCGTCAGCAGTTTCTTGAGCAAAAACGGGCTCAGGTTCCCGACGATCGCTCGGCTGCAACGACCATCGGACCACCATGTCTCGCTCAAGGTGCAAATGTCTCTCTTGGTGTTTAGGATCTCTTCCCCATAGATGCTCCAGTCAAAGCGTTGCTGCTCCAATGAGTCCTCTTGGCAAACAGTCCAAGTCCATTTCCACCCTGAGAGGCAGTTCTCATCCAATAAAACGGTGATGAAGACTGGCAGGAGCCAGGCCGAAAAAAGACGAAAGCTCATTAACAAGTGATATGTTTGCAAGCCAAACGCTTGGGAGTACTTGATGGAGATCTTGACTGCCAAAGCCATGTCAATCAAAACCATCACCACTGGTGCTGTCCGGTAAGCCAGATTCAAAAGGCTTTCGTTCAAGGCCAAGGAATGCTGAGCTGGCAGCGACTGGGCCAGTGCGAAGAGAATGGACGGCAAGGAGAAGATGGGAAGCACCACGCCAACCCAAAGAAGCCACGCCAAGGACCTTCTGGTTAGTCGCCAAAGCACCGCCGTGCGAGGGCGAGAGTCCGACCCGCCCTCAGCACCGGGCGAGAGTCCGACTTGGGCAGGTCGGGCGCACGCAGGGTCTGCGGGCATGCTGGCCACCGTGCTTCGAAAGAAGAGAAGCAGCGCAGACCAGCAGACGATGACGCCCAGCTCGACCGGGGGCTCCGCTTGGAAGTTGGCCAGTGTCGTCTGAGATAAAGGTGGGCAACAGTCCTTGTCGTCTGCGGCCAGGGGTGAGCGCTATTTTCAAGCTAGAGGTCTTGAGACCTAGAGAGGTCTAGACATCCAGAGGTCTAGAGGTGAGATCCAGAGACGTCAAAAGTTCTAGGTGTAACGTTTAGAGATCCAGAGAGGCCTCAAGGTGTAGAGATCCACAGAAACCGGCAAAAGGGAACATCAACATCACCCAAAACCCATGGATGTACACCAATGAGCTGAATCACCAAGCTCTTGCGATAGCAAAGGCTGTCGCTAGGCATCAATGGGTTCATGACAGGGAAATACCAATGTGATGTTAAAGCGAGTGACCCTCAAAGACAGGACAGATTCATAAGTGAATTCCCTGCAAGGCATCTTTGATTCCTTCCTTCGCGGATCATTTTCTTCCAGCTGGATCCACTGCAAAAGTGTTTCTTGTATTTACAGAAAAAGAAAGAGAAAAATCTGTTCACGGACACTTCCATGTCTCAAAGTAATGGCCCCAGCACCCAAAGAGCAACAGAAGTGGCGCTGCCATTAGAAAAGCACTACGTGCAGCAAGTATCCTTGGTGGTCACACTGTCTCCATGAGGCAAGTTGGAACGCAGAATCTCACCAAAAGCAGAGTTATACCAATCATCCACCCCAATGTTCGAAAGGGAAGATAGAGACAACCTGCAGCACCGCCCACTTCAGATGTTTCACAAGACCCCCCTATTACCTACCATGTGTGTTTACTGATGTTTACCGCCTCATCAAGCATCCAAAACCCTTTCTGGTGCCCAGCATCTTAGTTCTTAGAACCTGTTTTTCGTCCAAACCGGGCCACATGGCAAAGTTGGAGGATGCAACCCGGGCTGTGCGGCGGACCCCCAAGTTGCGCCGCAGGGCTGTGGCACGGCGCCCAGGAAAGGTGCCCCGCCGCTGCGGACGACACAGGGCTGCAAAGACCAACAAGGTCAAGAAACCTGTTGGTGAAAAAGGCGCGATGAATATCAAAAGAGAAGAGATCTTGTGGTGTCTTTTGCAAGTACTGTCAAATTACATGTGCAACTTCAAGGAGAAGGCACAGCTTGACAACGTTTCAACCAAACTGCGGTCGTTGACCCGGGTCGTGTTTCTAGACTGCCATCACTTCGGCACAAAAAGATGTGTCTGGTGCACCCGCCACGCGCGAACCACCTAACGTTTTCCACGCTCGGCCACGCGGCTGACGACGACGACGACGACGACGACGATGATGACGAGGATGATGATGATGATGATGATGATGATGATGAGGATGACGATGACGATGATGGTGATAGTTATGATGACGATCACGATGGCGCTAGTGCCGGGAATAAGGAGATGTGATTATCTCAAGATATACATGTGAGGCGCTCATGTACAACACACTCGCTTGCAGGGACGCTCTTGTAGGACAGTGTTGTTAGACACTCTTGTGGGGTACCTTGTAGGACGCTCTTAACACACACTCGTAGGACACTCTTGTGTGACACTCTTGTGGGGCACTCTTAAAAGACACTCTTGTGGGGCACTCTCGTAAGACACTCTTGCTTGACATTTGTGAGACAGTGAGGGCACTCTTCTGGTAAATCCCCACTCATCTCGCTCACCAACAACACGCCGCGTTTACACACGCATGCTTCCCGCTCCCAAGTGGCACGGAGCCAAGCGGACGCACTTTCCACCGAGGCCGTGCGAAACCGAACGGCACAGCTACATCATAGACATATATAATATATATATATATATATAATTTCGCCACACTGTGTTGAGCCACAAACAAATTTCGATGCACGGTCTCCGCAGAGGGTCGCGTTTCGTAAGTATCGGCCGCACCCGCCCACCACCTTAAGAGAAGTTTTTAAAATGTCTATATAAGTTGTAGTTGTCATCATGTAGGTGAGTTTTGTGGGCCTCTTCACCTGCATCTCAACACCTGTATCCAAACACATGAATCTACACAACTGTATCAAAACACCTGTATCTTTGTAGGTGTGCTTTAGCAGTTGCATCACCTGCATCTCTGCGCCTGTATGATGATGAGGAGGAGGAAGAGGAGGAGGAGGAGGACGAGGATACTGATGATGATGATGATGATGATGATGATGATGATGATGATGATGATGATGATG